CCTCTTTATTGAGTTTTAGAGTTAATTGAGGGATTTTTTTAAATCAATCACAGATACGTTGAATTAATATATAGATTGGAAACAGAAAACTTGGGTCGTATAAGGACTTAATTGTGAAAAAATTTCGTAAGAACCTAATTGAGATATGAGATCCAATCAGGGGACGAATTTGTTTTCGCTCCGAAAGAGAGCAGACGCGGGTAAAAAAGGCAACGCCAACTCTGTTTTGGCGGGGAAATCTCTAAATAACAAAAGAAAAAATTAAATTCCTAATCCCTCAATTCCGGCAACCTGCCAGGAATTCATTCTCTCACTCAATTACCCTCTACTATGGAAATCAATGATGGAGAAGAAGAGGATTTTGAGTTCTCAAGGAATTACTTTCTAGCAAAAGAATTAGCTGGGTCGGGTAAGAAATCAACCCGCAAGATTTCCGATATCAACGTCGTTGATGAACAGGTCGCTCACCACTTTCTTTATCATAATTTTCTTTAGTTTCCTTTTATTATTAATTGTTTTGATTAAATATTAATTTCTTGGTTTAAAAAGTTTTGTTTTTTTAATATTGCAGGAGCTAAGAGCGGCAGCAGCTAATATTGAGCTAAAACATGAGAAAGAGATTAATACTCTTGTTAATAGTTATAAGAGCTTGTATCCTAAATGGGTTTTTGAACTCGGGTAATTAGTTAAGTTATTGCAAGTATTTGTGAAATTGTAGTATTCGATGATATGGGCACGATTTGTTTGAAGAAATAAACTGGCACGAAGAGTAGTAAGTTAGGCACAGATAGCAAGTTGAAACCCATTTCGAGGGAAAAAAAAGAAGAAGAAACGATATGGCCTCAAGTTTGGATTTGAGAGTTCAGTTGATTTTTTTTAGTGGGTATTGGTTAGTTTAATGTACTTAATTTTTCATATACATTTTAGATAATTTTATGAAAATTATGGGCAACATCCCTTTGATTCTTTGTTATGAATTTTCTTTTTGAGGATTATTTGCACTAATTTATGATTCTTTACTATGAATTTAGGTGTGGATTTGGCCTTCTAATGTATGGTTTTGGATCGAAGAAGGTACTGATTGAAGATTTTGCTTCTACAGCATTAACCGAGTATTCTGTAGTAGTCATCAATGGGTATCTTCAGTCAATTAATCTAAAACAGGTAATCTACCTGGGTGCCTTTTGTTGATACTTGAACTTATTTATCGGTTTACACATTGATATTGCCAGGTTCTTAAATGCTGATATAACATTAAAATGATTCCTTGGCTTAGAAATTCAAGCCAAGCATAATACAGTGGAGTTTATGCATGATACACCGGCCACCATTTTCTTTGTTCTATGCTAACTACTGTAACATCATGACTGTAGGTGGTCATTGCTTTAGCTGAAATTTGGTGGGAAGAGTTGAAAACCAAACGAAGGACTCCTTCAGGGGTTTCATCTAAATTTCAACAGCCTTTTAATTCTCAATCTATGGATGACCTTCTTGCATTTTTGCATGAATCAGATGTGGAGGAAAATGATTCTTTTGTGTGCATTGTTGTTCACAATATTGACGGGCCTGGATTGAGAGACTCTGAAAGTCAACAGTATCTTGCGCGACTTGCTTCTTGTTCACATATCCGCATTGTTGCCTCTATTGACAATGTTAATGCACCTCTTTGTGAGTATATCTTATTATAGCTAGTTATATGTGAACACAATGGCTGGTTGGGGCAATCTGCCAAGTTAAATTGTTTTAAATTTTATTTCTATGGCTCCATCCTATGGCTCACATAATTAGGTTAAACATATTTCCTAAATAGCGAAACGTTTCATGTCATGATTTCTCTGGGTGCTTCAAAAAATGATCCATGTTTTATGTTAACATGTAGACTTGTTTGCAACTGCTTTGTTGGGAGATGAAGGTCTAAATAGGATAGTCCCCATTGGCATATAGGGTTAACATTAGGGCGTGAAAATTGTTCCAAGTGTCTTCTGAATGATGGTGAACCCTCAATTCTTGCCTCACTTTCACTTTCATTTTGTTTCTATGCCATGGATAAGATGTAAATTTTCATTTTCCTGTCTTTCCTATGATTAAAGAACAAAAATCTTTTTGGAACCCTTTAGTAATTTTTTTTTCCTTGGTTCATCTTATACATTTATGATTTACCGTCCTCTTCCAATTTTCATGTCCAGGACCCTAATAACGGTACTGGATTTTTATTTTTTTTTGGCAGTGTGGGATAAGAAGATGGTTCACACCCAATTTAATTGGTTCTGGTACCATGTTCCTACCTTTGCACCTTATAATGTTGAAGGAATCTTTTTTCCTTTGATTCTCGCTCACAGCAGTACAGCTCAAAGTGCCAAAACAGCTGCAATAGTCTTACAGAGTCTGACACCCAATGCCCAAAGTGTGTTCAAAATTCTTGCAGAATATCAGTTGTCTCATCCTGATGAAGAAGGCAAGTAACTACGCATGACGTGGAGCATTATGTTTCATGGTTGAAATCTTATATGCTCTATTTGATTTGTCATTTTCAGGCATGCCAGTTGATGCTCTGTATACAACTGCTCGAGAGCGCTTCCTTGTGAGCAGCCAGGTCACATTAAACTCTCATTTGATAGAATTCAAAGATCATGAGTTAGTAAAGACTAGACGAAACAGTGATGGACAAGATTGCTTGCACATCCCGCTTGCAGTGGATGCCCTTGAAAAGTTGCTTTCTGAGATCAATCAATAGTTCTGACTAAGTTTGTAATTGTTTTTCGCATCCTGCTTGCTGTGGATGCCCTTGAAAAGCTGCTTTCTGAGATCAATACAATGTACCTGGTACGTGCAACTCAGGTTGTAACTTGAATTAGTCTCATGATCAACTCTTAATTTCGATCTCTAGCATGCTGGCAACCTATTGCAGCAGTTCGCATCAAAAAACTACATTGTATCTTCGATAGCCTTTGGAGAAAACTTTTTGCTTATATCTTGATGTTTCCTTTAAAATACCTCTGTTCAATTCCAATTAAGTATTCCGTTCCCAGAGAGGAGCCCAATGCCAATTCTGGAGTACCAACTTAGTCCTTCGTTTCCCATTTACGTATCATCCGAATTTTATATGTGACGTTTAGTTAATTTAAGGTGTGTGGTCATTTACTAACTATAGGATGCGATGTCGTTCGGTTACATAGTTGGGACCTGGAAGTCTCTTAAGCCATATGAATACTACAGGCCATGTTTTGTGCTTCTTTTTTTTCTCGAACTTAAAGCTGCGTTATTGTTCCAGTACTTTTCTATATTAATTGGGCTATATATTCATAGCTTAATCAAGTCACAAACTTTTCTATTCGAGCACTTGCACAGTTTGAGTTGGAATATCTATTAATTTTCTTTGGAACCTCGAGATGATAGAAAATCAAAATACCACAAATCAAAGAGATGATTAGGCAAGATTATTCATGGAATCTTGATTCATGATTTATCAAAAAAAAAAAAAAAGAGAAGAATCTTGATTCCTCCAGCAAGGCCTGAATCGTTATATTTGACATAATGCAAGACTTTTGGGAATTTTATACAAGTACTGGCATGTACCAAGATTGATAGAAAAATTTCAAAAAGAATTATAATGGATAAAATTACACCAAAATGTGTAAGGTCGGCTTAATTTTTCTTCACAAGTCATGTTTCGCTCATAAATCCCTTTATAAGCAGTATTATTGTCCGATGATCATATAAATGAGACCATAACGATGCCAAAGCTCTTCACAAGAACTTTTACTTTTCAAATGCGATTGGGCTTGAGATTTACAATTTTTGAACAGCTCATGATCCTTTATACGTATTGGATCTGGGCAAAAATAGCTGTGGGCCTCGAAGCTCGAATTAGTGCAAACACTCCAAAGTGAGCCTGTATAATCAAAAGCTCGACTTGGATCTAGGAGTACACTTGGTGATCAAATACCCTCAAGGGCATGCACCATCGACATGGGTGCGAGGACAGCTTGATGCCCTAATATGCCACAAGGTATGTCATCCTTAGTTTAGGCTCGAGGGTGTTGATGGATGATGACAATGTAGTAAATATTTTCTTCAAATAAATGATGTACTAAATAAGAATAAATAGCTCTAGATTAGCCCTAGTTAAAACATCACTAGTTGGTATAGAAAAAATGGTGTACTGTTTGAGGGTCTGCTAAAAGTACAAGTCGCCGTGTATACATTTCTTAAGTGCAAGACTCTTCAGTAAACCTCATATACATGAGATTAACGCAATAAATAACACTAGATATATAGTTGTGAAATTCTTTATAAAAAAAGAATGGTCATGACAAGGAGGGCCCTAAGTAAATGTACATCCACCTAACTAAAAGGATAAAGGGCCATGTTTATAGCAAACCAAGTGAATTGCTAGTACGAAATACTATATATATACATATATGTGTATATATGTGTATATATATACATATATGTATGTATGTATGTAGGGTTTTAATTAAAAAAAACTATAGTTTTTTCTAATTGATAATAAAATAATGGTCATGGTTTGAGTAGGTGAGATTCCACTGAAGGACTTTTGTGTCATTTAGTTTTTTTAATTTAATTCTTGAATTTTTAAAAGTAATCTTCATCTTAATTTTGTTATTCTTACAATTATTCTCAAATACCATATGCAATACATTTTTTAAAAAAAGTTAAAAGTTAACAATTAATAAATTAGTAGTCAATTATAAATTATTTTCTGAAGTTGTTTTACAAGTATAATCGTAAATTTTCTAGATGAATTTCTGACTTTGACACCTTTCCTTGTTAAAGCCACAAGGTTCAAAAACTTGTTGTGATATTTAAAGATGAGATTATATGACTTGTTCCCACTAGTGTTTAAGGATTACTTGTCATGTAATGTGACATTAAGTTTGACTCGCACAATCAAGCGGTGGAAATGGTTGTGGGAGTGATGTTTTTGGTTGTTTGTGCACGATTTGTTGCCCGAATACAACCTGAGATGAGAGTGAGGAGCCCTTATAATAATGTTTTGCGTCATTTTCTTGTGCTCGCAATTCAACCCTGTGCCGGTACGCCGGCAATAAATTTCCCAACTTGATCTTTCTTTACATTTTCAGGGGATGTGAATCCCTCCGCTGACTTTGCTTTGCCAAATAAATTGTATCCACATCAACTGCCTATTACTTGTATCCTCGCATTATCTCTCTCACCATGGGCACCTCTTTTTACAGTTTCCAAACTTTGAATCTCTATGTCATTGCCTTCCTGCTGCTGCTTCTTCCACCCTCTGCTAATTCAATTTCCTTTCAAAGAACACGATTTGACCCTAGTGACATCAGCATAATCTGTGAGGGAGGTGCATCAACTCGTGTTGGAAGCATTGAATTCAATAGTGACACTTATATGTGTCAAGTTGGTAGGGCCACTTATGCCAAGAAGGTGCCTCTCTGGGACTCTTCCACTACAAGGCTGACCGACTTCAGTACCCATTTCTCTTTTTACATCGACATTCAAGGTCGTACTTCTTATGCAGCCGGATTTGCTTTCTTCATCGCTCCTGTTGAGTTTCACATACCCCCGAATTCAGCTGGAGGTTTTCTAGGCTTGTATAACATCACCACAAGTGACTCTCCGCAGAACCATATTGTCCACATTGAATTTGATTCTTTTGCGAATCCTGAATGGGATCCTCCAATTCAACATGTTGGGATCAATAACAACTCAGTTTCCTCGGCCACATACACCTATTGGAATACCTCCTTGCACAGCGGCGATACTGCTGATGTGCGAATCACTTATAACTCCACTACAAAGAATCTGACGGTTTCTTGGAAGTATCAGACAACTTCAACTCCTCAAGAGAATACTAGTCTTTCCTACATTATTGATCTCAGGAAGGTTCTTCCTGAGTGGGTCACGATTGGGTTTACAGCTGCTACTAGTAACCGTATAGAGCGGCATGTGCTTCAGTCATGGGACTTCAGTTCTACCCTGGAGATGAGTGAAACAAGCGGAAAGAGTGCTAAAAATATAAAGCTCGTGGTGAGTCTGACAGTTTCAGGAGCTGTTTTGATTATTGTGATTGCTGTTGTATCTGGAATTTTGTGGAGACGGAAGTTGGTAAGGAAGGAAACAGCGGAGACGGTGAACTTAACATCAATCAACGATGACATTGAAAGGCGTGCTGGTCCGAGAAGATTTTCCTATAAAGATCTTGTTTCAGCTACCAACAACTTCTCTGCTGAGAGGAAGTTAGGGGAAGGAGGGTTTGGAGCTGTTTACCAAGGGCAATTGGCTGGTATAGATACGGCAGTTGCCGTGAAAAAAATCTCTAGAGGTTCGAAACAGGGGAAAAAGGAATACGTAACTGAGGTGAAGGTCATTAGCCAGTTGAGGCATCGGAATCTAGTGCAACTCATAGGTTGGTGTCATGATAGAGGTGAGTTCCTTCTTGTGTATGAATTCATGTCAAATGGTAGCCTTGATTCTCACCTTTTTGGTAAGAAGATTCCTCTCACATGGACAGCAAGATACAGAATAGCTCTTGGATTGGCCTCTGCTTTGCTTTATCTTCATGAAGAGTGGGAACAGTGTGTGGTGCATCGCGATGTAAAATCAAGCAACATAATGCTCGATTCAAGTTTTAATGTCAAGCTCGGTGATTTCGGGCTAGCTCGACTCATGGACCATGAGCTAGGTCCGCAGACTACAGGTTTGGCAGGAACTCTAGGCTATTTGGCTCCAGAATATATAAGCACAGGTCGAGCTAGCAAGGAATCTGATGTATATAGTTTTGGCGTGGTTTCTCTAGAGATTGCTACTGGAAGAAAAGCAGTTGATGCCATTGAACAGAAATCAGAAATGAGCTTGGTAGAGTGGATTTGGGATCTTTATGGAACTGGAAAACTCAACTTGGCCGTTGATGAGAAACTTCACTCTGAATTTGATGAGAATCAAATGGAGTACTTGATGATTGTTGGGTTGTGGTGTGCTCACCCTGATCGCAATATAAGACCCTCGATAAGGCAGGCAATTCATGTTCTTAACTTTGAAGCACCATTACCAAATCTTCCCACAAAGATGCCTGTTCCTCTGTATCATGTGCCTACACCATCGCTTAGCTCCGGTGAGCCCTTGATATCACACTCAATGGATGTGGGTCGTTAAACATGGCTTTTCACTTGTAACATGCAATAATGTAGATAGAGAGATGAGTGCCGAGATGCTTAAATAGATCTTCCTTTTCATTTGGTCCAGTTCTTAGGGCACCTTTGTATGGCAGCTGCTATGGGAGATTTTTTCTCCTCGAATAAACCATTTCATTCAGTCTTATTTTCTAAATAAAGGTACTCCTTGCTATAAAAGAACAAGTCCCATTACAGTGTTTAAACACCTGTCTTTTAAGTAGATCCTTGCTGTGTTGGAACTGATAAACTGTAGTTATGACTTTTGCCTCCGCATATCGCTGGTGTGCTTCGACGGAAAAGGCTTATGTATCGGCTGGCGGTATGGAGGCCTTCCTGCGATGGATGTGCTGTAGGCTGGATCCTGTATATTGACTTGAAGCCTTATGCACACCAAAGGCCTTCGGGGCCTGGTTTGACTTTCTAGTTGGATCCCAATTGGCAGCTGTTTCTTTTGTCTTCGTGCTGAGCCCCTCGGGATTTTGCAAATGACTGCCATCATGCCATGGCCACTTCTCTCATGCTTCAGATGCTATCGCTGGTTGAATTAATATCACTACTACAAAACCATTTAATGGTGGCTAAGTGGTAAAAATTTAGGATCAAGAGGTTTGCGGTGGCTAATTAGTAAAAACTTGGGATCAAGAGATTTGCTCCTTCTGTGGTCTCAAGTTCGAGTCCTTAGTTGCTCATATAATGGGTACTGGAGGCTTACATGGTCGTTAACTTCAGGGCCCGTAGGATTAGTCGTGGTGCGCGCAAGCTGACCCAGACACCCACGTTAATCTAATAAAAAAAAATATCACTACTACAATAATCATCAACATTTTTTTTATATATATAATCATCCTTTTATCATTATCTTTATTATCAAAATAATAACTACTACCACTGACCATCATCTTCACCTCACTACAATAACTACTACTTACCACATTATAATAATTATTAATATTATTATTACCATAATAATTATTATCAATGATAAATATTACTGATGTTATTATTATCATAACTAACATTATAAGTTTTGTCACTATAATTATTATCATTATTATTATTATGTCTATCATAAAATATTATTACTATTATCATTATCTCTATTATAAATTTTCATATCATACTATCATCAATAAATAATAAAATTAATTAACACTTATAAATTCATACCATTATTTTTTTAATTCAAACTTGTTCAATTTAAATCATACCTTTAATTATTATCAATCCTACACCAAATTATTTTTTCTTAAATTTTCAACTTAATCATAAAATTCACTCAAAATAATTAGAACCCTTTAAATTACTCATGATTTCTTCAATTCTAACACACATAAATTATAAAATCACACTCAATTTCATCAAGTGATAAATTAAATTTGTTTCTATCAAGTTCCAAACAAATTTTAGAATATTAATCATATATTAATATAATAAAATTATCATTATAAAAGCAACCAAAATACTTAAATATACAAACAAATTATAAAAACTACAAACAAATTTCAATAAATTAACTTGAACAAATTATAAAAACTACAAACAAATTCATACCATTTATATTTGAAGTTAATTTATTGAAAGTTAAGACATGAATGAATGGGTTTATTTACTTAGTGGAGTAAAGTTTGACAAGAAATTGAATCAATAGAGAAAGGTTGTGTTGTCACTAACAGGCTGGGTGGCTGGATTTCAGAGGGGAGCTATTGAAAGCTCGAAGAAATACAACCTTAAATTGAAATTAAAGAAGAAAATGAAGAATAATGAGAAGTGAGTGGAAAAAAGGATTGTCGGGCTTGAAATCATTTTAAATTCATTGATGAAAATTTTGTCAACAATTTGACATATTTGTAATGCCCGCATACTTTTTTTTATCCCATCACTATTTTCATTACAAATTACTTATGAAGAAACTTTTGTCATAATTTTTATTGATAAACAACTGTGAAACATCTTTCATCTATATTTTTGTTATTTTATTTCAATTTTACAATAATGATGGTGAGTAGTTGTAGCCAACTTGCGAGTAAATTCCTGGAGCATAATGGAATTCAAAAGAAATTAAGCAAAGGACAATAATTAAAAAACCTAAAAGCCATCAACCAATAATTATAACTCAAAACATATATCATTATGGATTGAAACAATAAAATGATTGTTTTATCTTTCTCAAAAAAACCAACAAAACTTGCAATTAGGGGCAAAATTTTCTTTTCCAGGGAATCCATTGGGTATCATAAAATTGATTTTGGACAAATTAATTCACATTTTTTTTATGGTATAAGGAAATGACTTTGTTGCCCTTAAAAATAGAAAAAATATATAGCTTTAGTCCAAGGAATTTTTTGTATTTTTATTATTTCTTACACGGTAAAATTACACTTATATCATTAAAAGCAGGAAAAACATTAAACTAGCAAAGAGGGCTTTGTCGTGTTTTTAGTTTTTACAACAATAAAGTGATGGAATTGCTTTTATTTAAAAAAAAAATGGTTCCAAAAGCATTTTTATATTTTTATTATGGTTTCTAGAATTGGTTCCCAAGGCATTTTTATATTTTTATTATGGTTTCTAGAATCTATTAGGAGATACTTGCTAATTTTAGAATTTTAAATGTTATTAAAAACAAAGTTACACAAGTCATCATGTGATGATTTTTGTGCCTTCCAAGCAGTACATGTATGTCCACTAGGGGATTCCTAAAACTGCCATCCACAATGATGTTGGGAGTTGCACATCTTTTCTTCTTTTTTTTGAATTGATGGGATACGTGTCAATGACGAAGATGTGGTAAGGTTCTAGTAATTTTTTTTCTTTTGCTATTTCTTTTCTCTCTCATAGTTTAAACATTCATGACAATCTTTAAAAAATTAATTGTGTCTTTTAATTTTTATTTATATCAATTTTAATTATTATTTATTTTTTAATATTTTTAAAAGGTTTTTTCAGTTTTGTTCCTAGCCTTTTTATTTCATTAAATTTTTCTATATAATCTGCTCTTTCAATTAGTATTTTTGTGTTTCACCCTTTTTTTTAATTTTTTTTCTCTTGTCATTTTATTTCATTTAATTTTTTATCTAGTGTTAGTTCTCATTCTTTTTATTACTATTATTTTATCTTTTAAAAAAAATTATTTTAGTTTTCAATTTAGTCCCTCATTGTTATCTTTTATTGAGTTTTTATACTAGATTTGGTTCTTATTATTTTGATTGCTATTTGTTTTATTTTATTTACAACTTTAAATGATTAGGGATTTTTCTTAGTAATTTTTAGTGTTTACCTTCCA